AGAGAGAGAGAGAGAGAGAGAGAGAGAGAGAGAGAGAGAGAGAGAGAGAGAGAGAGGAGAGATCTCAAGGGGGAAAGAAAAAGAAAGAAACTTCACTTTAAATGTCTTTCCCTTGAGGAAACACCAAACTGTAACCCCAATTACAATATTGGGGAGGAATCCTCATATGTGAACCATTGTGGTAACCTAATAATATTAGTGCAAGATTATCAAGGAATACCCTAATCTGTTTCTGTAGAGCTATCTAATAATTAGAAGATGAAAGAAAACAGTTGCCTTCAGTACTTAAGTACGTAATGATAAAGATCGAGGGGGAAACTATGAAATCTAAAGGTGTCAAATATGTCACTATATTGGTCATTAAATCAAAACAAGTGAACCTATTTTGATAGTTTTTCATCTAATGAATGAATTCCCTGTTTTAAGAGACCTGTTTTTGGCAATTGATAAAAAATAATTTGACATCGAAGTCGTCGTAAAGGATGCCCGAGCCACTGCCAGCGGCTCACTGGTACAGTGGTTCCAACTGTGAGCCTCTGGGAATGGCTTGTGGGAGATATGGAGTTAAATAAATCAGAACTGTAGCTGTGACGATATATATATTGGCCTTTTTGTGTTCTGGAAAATGGTTTGAAAACCCTGCAAATGCTCTTGACTGTGTTGCTTGTGGGCAGTAACTATTGTTATCAGCGAGATAGTCCTCTAAAATAAGATGACAGTCTGTTGATTACTTTTTTATTTTTGTTTTGAAAGAATGGCATATGTTGATTATTTTGTAAATTTATTTGTTAACTGTGTGAGTTAGTTTGTATGAATGGGTTGTGTATGAGTGCAGTGTGTATGAGCATGTTTGTGTGTTTAAGTAAGATAAAATAATAAAGGATTCTAAATATGCATGTGATTGTGGATCTGTTTGTGAGTGTAAGCATATATAGTAGTCTGTGTGTATGTGTAGAGATTGGAAGAGAGTATGTGTGAATGGGTGTGCGCACGTGTGCGTGTCCGTGTGTAAGGGTGTGTCTATGAGTTTATGTGTGTGTATGTGTGAGTTTGTGTGTGTGTGTGTGTGTGTGTATGTGTTTGTGAGTGTGTGTGTGTGTGTGTGTGTGTGTATGTGTGTGTGTGTAAATACTGAAACACTAAACCAATGTGCCAGTGACTGGAGAATGAATATTTATGTTATGTTATGTTATGTTATCTCATCTTATCTTATGTTATCTTATCTTAGTGGGTGGTTGGCGGGTGCTCTGGTGTGGTTTGTCTCTTCTTTCCTGTCAAACATCTATCTTCTTTATCTTCCCTCCTTCTTTTTTTTTGTTTGTTACTCTCTTGTAACACCTCTAATCTTCGGCACTTATATGACCATATTGTGTTGCAAGTCCCGTAAAACTCTTACTAAAACTAAATCTTATCTTATTTTTAAAATGAAAGGGTTGTTTGTAAAGTCACACTGAAGTCACTTTCACTTTCAGTATTGTTGTCTACTAGTTTCATAGGTATCTTTCCCCAGGTATGTAGTTGTCTCAGAAATTTTAATACAGTTTAGTATGCAAATAGCAAACATACACACAGCAAAACAGGCACATAGTGAACAGGTTGTCAGATCCCCAATTTTTTACCAATACATGTACATGTATATATTACTTGTATTTAAATCACGTGCATAGTGGAAATCATACATAATGAGTCAGATTTCCACATCCCACAGATTTTGCTCTGTATGTATGCTATGCTGTATCCATTTGTAATGTGTTCCACATTTAAAAAATTGTATAATGTACCTCCCTTCCCTTCTGTCAGAATAAGTGTTTTCCTGTGTGGTTCGCTGAACTAATCACTATTGAATCCTTGAGCCATTGACAGGAAGTGATTTTATCTGATGTCTCATTCCACTGTTCTGTCTCCTTTTTGATTACAAATATTGTTTATAAATTGTATTCAATTATTTTCCCTAATTTATTTCCTTTTTCTTGTTCTTTTTGCTTCACAGAGGCATTTTGGTGGATAAAATGGTAAGATAATGGAAAAATAATCGCTTCTATCATAAGTGCCAAAGATGACAACGAAGACAGTAAGCGGAGATTCCTATGGAAATCTCCACTCGGAGGGAAATGCTTTCCAGGTTGATGGTGGAGTCGTTGTAGATTCCCCACAGCAGCAAAGATCAGAAAATTTGCCTCAGATAAATATTCCTATTGAAATCAAAGTAGAGGAAGAAAGTGAGGTTGACGCTGGTCATGAAAGTGGAAGTGACAGACAGGAAGAAGAAATGAGTTCGCAGGCAGCTGAGCATGTTGTGGGGGATATTGTGGAGGACGGAGGTGAAGTTTCTTTGCAGGATTTGCCGGTTGATGAGAAACCCGCTGAGGGTGAAATTATTACTGAAGTAATAACTGAAAATATTTTGCACCATGAAAATAATCGAGACCAATTTGAAAACACGGATGGAGAGGACAAAGATCAAAATAATGCAAACAACGAATCAAACAGTATTGATGATGAAAACCATGAAGATAAAGTTGAGGACCAAAATGGAAATAAGACGTTTGAGGTAAAGAAAGTGAGAAGCGAACCTCTGATGATTCACTTAGGTAATGATGAGGAAGATGATGATGATGGTGATTGCTTTTCGGGAGAAGGGAATGGCGATAATGATGATGGAATGGCTGGTGAAGATGATGACGATGAGGATGATGCTGACAGTGGGATGAGTTTTGTTGAGGACGATCGTAGTTTTGAGCCTGACATAAACACAGGGAGAACCTCAGCTCAGAGCAGAAATCGGCCCCCGACAACGAGCACACTGCGGGAAGTCCCACATGGGCTGCGAGCCAAGGCCAATACGCCAGCCAGTGTATACACCATTGCCAACGAAGTAGAGAGTCCGGTTGGTGACAAGAGGCAAGACTCGGGCAGGTATGGAAATCTTTACTGTCAATCTGTGATAATAGATGATATATAAATGTCACAGGCAAGTTTTGCATGCATTGTAATGATAAATATTTACATTATCATATATTATATCATATGTGGGGCAGCGTGGTGGAATCAGGCTCTCGTTAATTTTTGGGCATGTAGAGTTATTGGTATCATCTTAAAACTTGTTTACTTGTCTTTATTTGGATGAAAATAATATCCTTTTGTCTTGAATACAGGCCAAGATATTTGCAAAAGAAGGAGGTGGGGGTCACCTGTTTTCAGAGGTAATATTCGTGAGGAAATGGCCACCAAAGATTAGTTATTTCCTTAGCTTAAGAGTCCGTGGTAACTGAACATTTACATTTCTTGTGCCTTTAATGAACGTTTTTCAGAAAAATCCACTCAGAAATGAGTTCTTTATTGGGCAAGAAAGGTGTTGAGCCAAAATACAAAAATTCGATAAAAATTCACAAACCTGCGGAAAAATGCAAGTTTCTTCACTTTCATAATTTTGACGAGAGCCTGATTCCTCCACGCTGTCTCACATATATGTCACGGCACAGTGCAACCGGGCACTTGTCAATTTTTGGGCATATGGAATTATTTGTATCTTTTTAAAGCTTATTCATTTGTCTTGGTTTCGTGAAAAAAATACCCATCTATCTTGAATAGAAGTCAGGACATTTGTGATTAAAGGAGTTGGGGTTCCCCTTATTTTAGAGGTAAAGTTAAAATAAGTTGGGAAAATGGCTGTCGAAGTTTGGTGATTTCCATTGCTTGAGAGTCCTTGGAAATGGACATAAAAGGTGTTGAGCCAAAGAACAAAAGTTTGATAAAAATTGCCTAATAGTCGGAAAAATACCCTTTTCTTTGATTTCAGTGTTTTGGCATGTGCCTGATTTCTCCATGATGCTTTGCATACAAGTATCACTTGCGGGTATGGCATAATTGTCAAAATTATGAAGATACACTGGAGTCTGCTTCAATCAAAATCTGCGAGCCTGCTGGATTTTCTTATGCTTAAGTATGTTTTCAGTTTAAACAGATTGCTCAAACAATATAGAACCCCCCCCCCCCCCCCAATCCGGGGATTCTACTTTCTTTTGGTGTAGCTCTGTTTTTAGATTTTTAGATTAACCCTGATTGATTTAAGGTGAGCTTCACAACAATGTATTGGACAAATTTACACAATGACATGCCCATTTCAGTATCTTTTTCCCTTCTCTCTGCCCCGCCCCCCCCCTCTCTCTCTCCCCCCCCCTCTCTCTCTCTCTCTCTCTCTCTATCTCTCTCGACCCTCCCTCCCCCCTCTCTTTAATACTCTTTTATGCCTCTTCCGTAACCCCCCCCACTCACACGTTCAGTCTCTGTATTTTACTATTGCCTGTCTCCTGTTTGTCTGCGTGCTGGTGTCCTTGTCTGTCTGAGGTTACATAAGGATTTATTCTGTCCAGATGGATTTACCCTCATATGTTCTAATGATTTTTAAAATCTTTTTATTTGAAAAAAAGGGAGGGGGAGGGGGGAGCAACCTATACACACTCAAGACTTAATTTTTATTTGTGATTTCTTGATGTTCACTCATCTGAGCTGATTCAGAATAAATAATTAAGGAAATGAATAGATAGACAGATGTATTTATAAGTAAGATTGAGTAATTAAGTAAGTTTGTACGTTAACCCCCCCCCCCCAAAAAAAAAAAAGAAAAAAGAAAAAAGAAAGGGAAACAGATGCCATAATTCCGTTGATGATCCCTTGTGATAAAATACTTTTAACTGTCCCCTGGTATTTTGATGTTAACTCACGTGGTATTCCGATTGTATTTCCAGCACTGTGACCCTTCTGTGCGATCTCTTTCTGTGTTGAAAACATTGTCCCTAGTGCTACCTGCTCCTGTTTTACGAGTAAGTCATGTCCGCCGCGCTCGACACGTATGACTGACTTCACCTCAATGTTGAAGGATACATATTTATTTTATACATGTACAACTTACGTACGGTGTATCTGTTGGGTTTTACATTTTATTTGCAGATCCCCTGCCCTCTCCAGTTCCCGTCTATTTTTCTCTTGTCTGTCTGTCTGTCTGTCTGTCTGTCTGTCTGTCTGTCTGTCTGTCTGTCTGTCTGTCTGTCTGTCTGTCTGTCTGTCTGTCTGTCTGTCGTTCGCTCTCTCTCTCTCTCTCTCTCTCTCTCTCTCTCTCTCTCTCTCTCTTTCTCTCTCTCTTTCTGTCTGTCCCTGTCTCCTGCTATCTCTTCTCCCTCTCTTTCTTTCTGCCCCCTTTCTCTCCCGTTATCTTTTCTCTCTCTTTCTGACCCCCCCCTCTCTCTCTCTGTGTCTCTCTCTGTCTCTCTGTCTCTGCTCTCTCTCTTTCTCTCTCCCCCCTTCTCTCTCTCTCTCTCTCTCTCTCTCTCTCTCTCTCTCTCTCTCTCTCTCTCTCTCTCCCTCTCTCTCTTTTGTTGTTGTAAGTGTTTTACGGCACTCGCAACTGCATACGGTCATATGAGCGCGTGGTACCCATTAAACATTTTCTGCTTGTAGAAAACAGAATTTTGCCCAGGTGGCGACTGACGCCTACTCATATAGATTTTGGACCACCAATGGATCTTTAACGTGCGCAACTTACACCCGGGATCTGCTAGATTTTTAGCCCTTGTCTGAGAAGGCTAGGTGTAGATTTTTTCCTACCATATGATCAGGGGTGTGGCTGAACGACAGCAGTCAGAAGGAGCCAAGGAGTAGCAGTAGAAAGGCTGCCGAAAGAGTCAGGATCTCAGAGGAGGGGGCAAAGGAAGTGAGGGAGTGAGGGCAGAAAGTGGAGACGAAAGCAGACGACAGGCACACATTGCTAGAGAGAAGGAAAGGAGGTGATAGGAGACAATTTTAGAGAAGAAAAATTTCCGTCGCTACTCTGATTCGAACCAGGGACCTATTGAATGAGTGGTGAACACCTTAACCTCTAGGCCACAAGAGCCCCCCCTCCCCACCCTCCCTTCTCTTGTAATTTCTCCGAACAACTATAGCTCTGCAAACGTTTTTCATGTGGGATTTCTACCATTGCGTGTACTGTGTCATATTTCTGGAATAGATGATAAGGCCACAGCCAAGCGCATAATCCGTGGGTGGTTGGCGGGTGCTCTGGTTTGGTTTGCCCCTTGTTTCCTATCAAACATCTATCGTCTTTATCTTCCGTCCTTCTTTTTTTTAGGTTTGTTACTCCCTAGTAACACCCCTAATCTTCTGACGCTCATATGACCTTATGCAGTTGCGAGCGCCGAAAATTTTCTACTAAAACAAGCGTATAATCCGGATTTTGACGCCAGTCGATCACTGGATTTAGATTTGAGATTTTGGTTCAGATGTACCGGAGGCTGAGCAACAATTACAATCCACTCTTGTCTCACAACTCACGGTGTCACACCATAGAATCAATCTTGGAATGTGTCTTTGATGGTGGTTCCTACTCCTACTAAATCTGTTCTTTAGCCGCAAATTGTTCCTGTCTAGCTTGCTTTTTTTCACTCGGCACTGTGCATGGCCGTTATTTTGTCGATATACCTCTTTTTTTCTTTTTTTCTTTTTTTCTTTTTTTCTTTTTTTCTTTTTTTCTTTTTTTGGGGGGTTTAGCCTGAACATACCTGCGATAGAATATATGTAGTAGAGTTGCTTCTGCGTTTCGAACATATTGTGAATATTTGAATTGGTTTTTCCATATCACATACCGCTTGGTATCTTGTTGCAACCCCCTCCCCCTTACCCCCAAAATAAAACAAAACAAAACAGCG